GTGATGAAGAACCAGAAGACCAATGAAGACATCAAGGCAGAATCGACTAAGTCTGGAATTCAACCAGAGGATCGATGGATAGTTCAATCAGAGGACCGATGGACTGTCCAAGGATGCGATGGAAAGAGCATCCTCATCGATCCTCTAGTCATCAACACTTAGAAGATTTTCCAGCACTGCATCCAAGCATGCAATGAAGATTGAAGATAAGGATGAAATAATCATACCATGAATGACAGCTGGAGATGACAAATCAACAGCTGGAATTCGAGTTTATCTTAATGTTAATGTTTATCCATGTGAAAGATAAACCCTATCTGTTAGATAGACGATTTGCTAGAAAGTAGCATTAGATAGTTATCTTCTTAATAGCGGATTAGTATAAATAGGTGATCATATCTATTGTAAAAATAAGGGTTTTACTCATAGTTTTACGTTTCTGAATTTATAAAGTAATCTTTGAAGCTCAAAGTTGTTCTTAAATATTCTTATTTTATTCTTGAGACTTCATAACTTTCTTCATAAAATCACTATAATTTAGTTATTCATAACTAGATTATTAGTGTTATTGAGAGATCTGGGATCAACAATTGGTATCAAAGCCTATTGATTGATTTCATAATAAAAAACGATCAATCAAAAATCTCTCAATTTTTKATCTTCTTTCTCGTCAAAAATTCTCTTTTTTTTCAACATTTTCAATGGCCAACTGGAATTCTGCCTACAATGTTGGCTCCCTCACAAAGCCCCCAACTCTTCAACAAGAGGAATATCCTCAATGGAAAATCAGAATGGTGAATTTCCTGGAAGGAATGGACAGGAATCTCCTAAGATCTATACAGGAGGGTCCCTACATTCCTCAAACTCTAGTCCCAAGAGTTCCAGGAACAAACACCACAGCTGAAATTCCAGCCTACTATATGCCCAAAGATGAAAGGAACTGGGATGAAGATGATAGAGAAAGAGTCGAAACTGACAAAAAGGCCAAAAGATTGATAATCATGGCGCTACCCAATGAAATCTTCCAATCCCTCGATACATGTTCCATAGCCAAGGAACTATGGGATGAACTGGCAAGTCAACTGGAAGGAGGAGCAAAAACAAAGAAAAATCGTAGAGCACAATGCCTCAACGAATACAMGAATTTCAAAGCCCTCCCTGATGAACCAATACAAAAGACTTACGATCGCTTCAACACATTGATAGTCGTAGAAACGATATCATCAGAACAAAGGAAGAAAACAACGTTTTATTCCTTAAGAGTCTAGGCGATGAATGGACTCAACTATCTATGTCCCTACAAGCAAACCAGGACCTAGATGGCTGGTCTMTTCATGACCTGTATGGAACACTTGCAGCACAAGAGAGCGACATTGTGAAGAAAAAGGTATCCATTGGTGGACCCCTTGCTCCTGCTGCCGATGAAAAAGAAAAATCAAGGACTCCAGCTAAAGAACATAAGAAAAAGAGCAAGAAAGCATTGGTGGTAGAATCAGAATCTGAAGATGAAACTTCTGAATCAGATGATGAAATTAAAGCTTTCGCCAAAATCTTTGGCCTTGATTACAAAACAGTTCCAAAAGAAGTTCATCAGAAAACCCTACGAGCGAAAAGAGTTCAGAAGGGAAAGGTACCAGTCATTCTATGATAGAAAACCATCCAAATTTTATCAAAGGGACGAAAGAAGAGATGGAAGAGAAGAACGGGAAGAAAGAAGAGAAGAAAGAAGAGA